ACACACACAGAGGAGATGTATATTGCAATCGACACTGATTGGCTTGGCAGCGACAATGGCGTGGAGTACGTGGCTAGGTCGCCAAAGCATTCTGTGTCGCGACGATCTGATGGGCTGCAGAACCACGACGACTCAACTGGTGGCGGCAGACGGCGGCCGGGATGGGGACCGCGGCGGTCGATCTGGGCCTGCGCAACGGCCGGATGGTGACGGTTGTTGGGGATGATCGGACGGCCTGTTGCCGGCGGCGGGTGGAACACGGTTGCTGCAGGTGGTGTTGAACAGATTGTGTGTGTGTGTGTGTTCTCTGCGGGTGCTGTGTGTGTGTGTGTGTGTGGTGGATTATGAGAAAGATAATAAAGATATTAAATGTGGTTAGTAGGTTATAGTGGGACCCATGGTTTGTGTAATGTCTAATATATCCTTAATAAGTGGTCAAATATGTACATTGACAATAATATTTATGTTAAATTACTATATTGTCATTAATGATTGACCAAATTTTGACTTAATTCTAACCATTGATATGATGTATCCAACAATCTAGATTTATTCTTAGTTCTTTCACTAAGAACCATTCTCATATGATCCTAACTCTATATATAGATATATTATTTCATTGTTTTTATATTAGAAACTCATTATATTATTTTCGAAAAAAAATTAATTATGAGCTTATTTGTTCACATTTTATTTTGTTCGCACAATGATATGTTTAATAAATTAATTAATTTATGTTATTAAATTTAATTGGCCAAAAACATTCACCACGTGCACTTTATACAAAATTTACAAATAACCTAATACCAACAGTAAAGACCTGGAGGTTTGTCTCGGATTCTTTTACATTGTAACCGGCAACAGTAAAGACCTGGAGGTTTGTCTCGGATTCTTTTACATTGTAACCGGCAAACCATAGTTATGGAATGTTGTGATTGCGCCGTCCTGATTGGCTGTCACAAAAACCAGAACCCACAAACCATCCCTCCCTTTTGCACACAAATCCCAAAGAGGCGGCAGTCTTTCCTCGGGCCAAGTCGTGCAGGCCCGATACCGGCCGTTGGTGGAGAAGCAGCTCGAGAGGGAGAAACAGTTGGAATAGTTATAACCCCACAATGTTCTCAGTTCTTTGTGGGGCCCACGCAGAGGTAAACTGGGTTCAGGACCCGACCAGGGTAACACAAGTGACACACCCCTGCGGGTGAGGAACGTTTCACACGAGCGCTTGCGCTGTTTGAATGTGCTGACGGCCCACAGATACACACGCGAATCTTCCCCGACCGACACGATATGCCTCCCGCTTGAAGTCAAGGAGGCTGACAACTGGCAGCCCGACTTGGGGAGACCTGTATCAAAGGAAACCATTTATATATATATTAGATAGAAGGTGAAAACAGAATGCCTTTGGTCTTAATTCTGGATTACATCTTATTCCCATACCTTTGTACTTGCACACAACCTTGAGTCCATCAACTATGTGAATCTTGGAGCCCTCCGATGTAATCATCACTCTTTGGGACCCATTTTTCAAAAACTGAGTAAAAAATTCTACGTAAACATACAAGTTCGGAGAGAAATGACATATTTTAGATTAAAAAAAAATGGCAGCAGTTAGGAACTGAGAGTATAACCTGAATGCCTGTGATTCTGTTACCAGAAGATTTCCTTTTTTCATGGACATTTATCTCCGTTTTTACCACGAGCTCATCGCCTGTGAAAAGAAAGAAATCCCCACTAAGTTTCTACGATTACGCACATAACTTTTTTCTTTCAAGCAAAGCCTTTGTAACAATGGTGTGTACCTGGTATATCATAGAACCGACAACTGCCAGAAACAGAACCAACAACAAATCCCTATACCACCATAAACAAATAAGAAAATGTGAGACAGAAACAGACATTTAAGTTTAACAAAATGATTTTTATTTATTTATTTTTTTCCTTTTATCATACCTTTCCATTTGGCTGGTAGCACACTGCAGTCACTATGTCCTGCACATCTGCCCAATCCTTGACTCGTCCCCCGGCAACTCCCCAGATTCGAACTTTACCGTCTATGGAGCCACTTATGAACAAGTTCTCATCCACAGGATTGAACTCAACGCACGTTACTGAACCCACCCATATGACAAGAATACAACAAATGAATTTCAAGCACACGACTTACCGACCGACAATAACAAATTATAAAGTGAAAAGCAAACAAAAAATAAAAGTATTTACATTAATGATTACCATAATTGGTGTGATGAAAAACACCAAGGCATCTATCAGAGCCAGCTCGCCACAAGCAAACAGTGTTATCCACGGATGATGACAGTAGATGCTGCAAACATACCATCTCCATTAGAAAAACAACAAAAGAGCCCAGAAACGAAAAATAACGAAAAATAAAATAAATCGACTCACGTTAGATGGGGACCAAGCCAGGTCTAAAACATCACCACTGTGTGCTTGAAACTTATGCAGTGGGCATTCTTGAATGTGGAAGATCTTTTCAGGAACGACAACTGGTGCTTGAAATTTCTTTGTTTTCTTACCAACCAATCCCATTTCACCATAACTGCAGTAACCCGCCCAGGAAGAAGCTTCCACCAAGTCAACACGCCATATGCAAACCACACCATCCACACAGCCACTAGCCAAATACTGCCCATCAGGGCTGAACTTCATGGCCCGAATCGAGTTATCGTGGGCTTTGAGTTCTAGACCAGCATACACAGCCGTGCACTCCATATACCTCTTCTGGTTATGTTCCACTCTCACCTGACCGAATTTCTCTGCCTCACCGTGTAATTTTGATTCCTTACATAAGTTTGCATTCTTCTTCATTTTCTGCTCCAAGCGTCTCAACCAGCTCAACTTTTTCGTCTTTCTTCCACTAGTGATTGTTCTCTTTCCCACACAATCCTCATCTTCCTTCACTTCACATTTGTCAGTAGGAACGAGATTTCCAATTATTATGTGGTCCAACCAATCCTGATCAGAATCAGCACCCGAGCAATTCGCCTCGCTATTCGACTTCTGCCTTTCGAACAGCAAGGCATCGTCAGTGGCAGCCGACAAGCTACAATGACTGGAAACAGTTTCAGGAGATTTAAAATTTGCCTCAACCTCGGCAAAAGTCGAACTCTCGACAAACCCCATTCTTGACAGAAAATTCTTCCTTCTTCTTATCACGCAATCTGGCTCACTCAACCACATGTCATAATCTGAATTTCCACACACCAAATCCTCGGACACCAATTGATCCACACTATCATAGAAAACCTCTTCACTCCCACAAGCACTCGACATTTCTCAAGACAAAATTGACTTGGCTCCACAATTCCACATCAAATCACCAAAATTATCCTCTGCATTCTCAATACAAGAAAACCCGAACTCCAAAATTCACGGTCCGAGTATCCCACAGTAGTGCTCTACACTGCCTCAAACAAAAACTCAACTATTTACGACTTTATTAAAACATATGCTTAAGACAGTTTTGTGGAACATGTTCCGATGTAGAAGAAGCTTCGAAATCAAGAACAAATGCGAAAACCAATGTAGTGTATTGTACCTTGAATTACTTGCAAAGCAAACATGAAACCCCAACAATATCACCGACTACCCCTTCGATTATGGCCGCTGCATAACCTAAGACCAAACAACCATAAACAAATCGAGCCCGTGTCTGAGAATTCTACCCAAGTTCGCTGTACATTGACAAAGGAATATTGTTTGTGGTTGAAGCAAAAGGTGTGTCAAATCCTCGGTATAAATAAACACGGACAAAAAGAAGACAACACGACAAACAGGGCCAGCAAAAAGTAGTGTCTTGTTTAATAAATGGTTCTTGAGATCTGAGAAGATGGTTTACTGAGGAGTTTTTTGACAGCACACGAGCGGCTCACAGCAAAATGTGACTAGCAGAGTAGGAGTAGCAATGGTATACAATTGAGTAGTGTTATATGTATATAATATTGTACATAGGCGTGTACATAATATTCATATCGAGTGGAACTCACCAAAAATTAAAAATTAAATAGACCACACTCCATGCTCTATGTATTTATGTACACGTAACATTACTCGTGTTATTATATTTAGTGTTGCTATTTTTCAATAAATAAATTCTAACTAAAATTGCAAAATAATAGAATTAATAAACACAACATATCATCCAAAAGTCAAACTTCCGCATAGAGTCCAAAGCTCTGTTTTACCCATTTGAGTAACAGGGTGGCCAAAAGGGCATTGAACAAAAGTGGGTAAAAATTGTAAGTTACAGTGAAAGGAAAAATAAAAAATAGGATTAAAGAATTCTCGCACCTACAATATAAATAAAAAAAACCAAAAATGGATGATGCTTATGAACAGAGTCAATGCGAATCAGGAAATGAGATAAGAAATTGAGGAAATGATTTGACTTTTGGCATTTAGGGGTTCATAGTGGCCAGGTGCCGATTTTTGGCCCGGCCCAGCCCGGCCCAGCGGGTCATGGGCCCTCCAACACATGGCCCGCGATCGGCCTGCCTAAAAACTAAGGGTCGGTTCATAGTACCGGCCCGAACTGCCGGTTCACCGACCCGACAGTTCACCGGCCAGTCCGTCCTTTAAAAAAAACTTTAACAAGGTGGCCCGTCGTCTGACCAGATCCGACCCGGCCCGGACCGACAAGACCAAAATAAAAAAAAGAACCGGGACCGAACCGCGGCCCCAGTGGCGAAATCAGGATCCTGTTTCGGGGAGGGCTCAATTTGCCTTTAAA